ACCATGGCTGAAGGCTCGGCTTGCCCGTTGTATCCCCACAAAAACAACGTAAACCAGATTTGTGGAAATAGGATATAGATTCCAAAATAAAAAACAGGGAGATGAGGTGCCCATCTATGATGCAATAGATATGTGTTTAACAAAATGTAAGGTAACATGATTTTAGTTCCATTTTAGAAGTATGAAGTATATTTTTTTATTTTGGCCAATTGTGACATGAAATTTTCATATCATCCCATGCCTAATGTGCATCTTTGTGCACACGCTGCAAGAACATGGAACAGAATACGGCAAACCATCATCAAAACATCGCTCTCTACTGCAACTAGTTGTCAGAAACCTTTAAAACTAACAATCCACACATCTGCTAAACAATCAACACCTCTTGTAGTACCAGTAGTACCTACACACATTATACAGCACATTTCTATCTTACAAGATATAATAAATGCATCTCGAGTGTTGAATACTGTGTTAAACTGCATGTGTAAGTGTGTGTGCAGTGAGCGGTGGATGCAGCGATGTCTATCTGATCGCTTAAATGTTGTTTTCAGGTTTATAATCAAGATTTCTTCATTAGAATTGGTTTAAGTGTTTAAGATAATAGGACGCTTCATTGTCCATCACTAGTTTGACTGTTTATGTGAAGGTAGAGGATGCAAACAGTTCAATTGTCCCTTGAAAGTCAATGAAGGTGAAATATTCTTTTAATATTAACCACGCATATCCAGGATTCAATTGTCTCTCTAACAATAAGCGTATAATAAGATTTTCAGGGAGCTTTCAGTGAGCCAAATGTGAATCATTAAAGTCTTTACTTTTATGAACTCAGCGTTATGTTAGCATATCTGTGCACAGCGTTGTATCATGTTGCAACCACAGCTGAATTTGCTCTGCCAGATTAATAAATCTTACCGAAAGATCATTTCATTAAGTTGAAACTGCGTCTCAACGATTCCACACGTCCTCACTCTCACTCTCAGAACGTCTGTCTCGGTGGGAACGTATTTGGGAGCGATGATTCGATTCATGTTCTCAAAGAAACTGGGAGGGGAATAGGAAGAGAAAAACAAACATCACTAACTGATGAGAATGTTCTTTTAGGTTTTACAACTTAGTTTAATGAAATTTAAACCAAGTTGTCAGTTTATTTGATACACGCTCCAACTAATCCGTTCTAATACAACAGCCTTACAACAAATCCTACCTCCACGAGGGGTTAATAGCCAATTTTTGGTTGAAACTTAGCGTGTTCAGTGATTCAGGAGGTGTTGATTCAAGTTTATGAGGCAGTAAATTGTAGTTATACAGAGCTGTTTGTAATATTTAATCTTAGTTGTATAAAACAATTTTAGCATTTTTAACAAATCTAGAGGGAGCTGAGCGAAGTCTTGAGTCAGTGCCGGTTGGGGGTGAAAATGTAAAGAATCTGGGGGGGTGTAGTTAGACAGAAGTGAGCTTACAGACCTCTATAGCCCACTCCCCATGTCTGCTTGAGGCTAATGCTATGCTAGCCCCTATTAGCAGGTCATACCAGGATGTCAAGCTGTATTGTAGACGCCAGGCTTTGACATGGAAAAATAAAGTGTGGAGTAAAAAAATATGATCTCTGGTTCTGCTGCAGGATTCAAAAAAAGGTTTTCAAGTGTCCATCATGAGTCTGACAGTGTTATAGAAGGGCAACGCTAACTTGGCAGTGTGCTCTTTTAAATTTGACCTAGTACACTCACATATGCCATCAAAAGCACCGATATGTGCTATTACCTGGGCTGTAGGGGTCATGTTGCTGCAGAATACACAACTTTTTAACAATAGCTTTATACCATCGATATATGGGTGAAAATGTTAAACCCAGTTGTTTAATTTGTAATGAGCTATATTCATGAAGCCTTGGCTCTGAACAAAGTTACATACTGTGCGCACACATGTAAATGTGCTGCCTTGCATCGGCTCTGATATAAATATATTTTCTCAAACATACTTTAACAATCTTTTTAAAAACACAAAACTTGATTTATCTCTTTTCATCGCATTTTCATGCAATTCTTCCTGCCCAGTGTCATTTTGACTGTTTCCATCTCTCAGCACTAATAAAGCTTGTGTGAGTTATTAGAATGGATTTCTAAAGACACGCAGGTCACATCGATAGTTAACTTCCTGTACCCGCAAATTTCTTTTTAGAAACATTAACAGTTCAGTTCATGTCAAAGCTCATGTCCGAGAAGTCATTTTACACGTCCAGGTGCCTTCGGGTTCAGGGAAAGTCAAGTGTGTCACGACTCAAGTCGAATCCAATATTTCTGGAGGGAGAAATCAATGTGGGGTCCAGCAGAGTGAGAAGACTGAAAGAGAGCAAGCTGAGTTTTTATATCATCCTACAGCTCCAACCTTATTGAGTTCCGATAATGAAGCTGTCACTTCTTCAGTTGTGTCAGCCTGGCCAGCTGAAGTAAGTTTTAACTTGGCAGGTCTCCTCTCTGTTGCCTCAGAGATAAGAACTTGTACTCAGTACATTTATTTGAAGTTTATTTAAATATAAAACTTACTGAAAAAAAATTCAAAACTATAAGCTACTGCCATTACTGGTCACCTTACAATATTTTGCACTGTTGTTACCAAGTGAGGCATCTTAATATGAGCAACACGAGTAGTTCATCAAATAAATCCAATTAAAAGCAGACGGAGGTCTCCCCATTTTCACGGGGAGGTACGGGACACAGCTGCTGTCTGGATTCTCTGTCGGTGCAATGTCTTCACTGATATATAGTGTTACTTTGAGCTACCTTAACATGCCGATATCTATCATGTATTTCCCTACATCTCCCAGAAGAAAAAGGAAGAAAAACCCCATGGACCATGCATTGAGCTTTCTATTTGATTAAGACTGGGAGCCACACATCTTACTGCACGCATTCTTGTTGATGGTGCTGCATTATAAACCCCCTCTACACTCACACACACATATTTCACTTGGATAGAAAAGTGTTTAAAATTCAAAAAGGGGGTAACGTATATTGGTGATGTGATAAAAAAAAAAAATGCACTTCACCTCATAGTCGGCATGAAACAGAGTTCAAAACAACAACGGCATTTATCACAATGTATTCCACACTTCAGTTAATGATCCACACTTCAGCTGATGATGCAACACACACTCAGCAAATGATCTATGCAGAGTACCTTTTTTTTGATGAACAACTGAAAGGGCACAATTGCTGAAGGACAACCAGTTCTGCCCAGATAAATACAAAATGGAGGTTGTATTCCAATAATTTGTGTTTCATGATACACGGAGATCATTTGCAGTGAGGTATAGTAGTAAACTACAGTTAAATCAAAAGCTTTAAGTTGAAAGCTAATGCAATACAGCTTCACACATGTAATGCTGTTTCATTTCTTACTCATTAAAGAAAACTGGGTCTTTAATCATGTCTGTTTTATGTGCTCCACCCTAATTCCCTCCTTCCTGGATATCTGCAAACATTGCTTTTTAATTTGGTCCCAATTAAGCCTCCCAATCCACAAATGTCACAGGAATCATTTCCTGAAGATGAGTTATTCTGAGCACTTGCTTTACGGTTGCTCTGTATTGATAAGATGTGACGACACGCTGCTTACTGGGCAATTTCCCCTGACATTTGCAACGCCAGTCATAATTGGGCAGCGTTGTGCAACATGGATCATTTAAGGTCACTCTACTCACTAGAGTGCAGAGTCATTCAGCTCGAACTCGTAACCTCTGGTGGCAGCTGCTCGCACCCCTTGGTCGGCCCACAGCGCGCAGAAAGCGTGAGCCACAAAAGGAAGCAGCTCCTGGTCGTCCGCCAAACACTGACTGCAGGACAGGATGGAGCGGGCGTGCATCTACAGTAAATGGGACAAAATATTAGATATCATTATATTTGAAGTAAAAGAGTAAATGAGGTTTTCTCAACGTGTAACGCACTGCAGATTGTGGCGGGTGAAGGTATAAACGGATCAATACGTTGTGCCTTGCAACAGGAAATATTATGGTCACCAATCCAGTGGTGGAGGAAGTATTCAAATCCTTCAGTAAAAGTACTGACAGTGAATTTTAAAAACACAAAAGTCCTACATCGAAAACATTACTTAAGTAAAAGTATTATTAGATATTATCAGAAAAATTTACTAAAAAGTAAAATTACATGTTTAACTATATTGTAGAGGCTTGCAACTAATAATTATTTTAATAATATGGATTGGATATTACATGGATATTTGAATCTGCTGATTATTTTCTGCATTCATTCATTGATTTGTTTGTAAAAACTCTGAAAAAAGAAACAAATCTTTACATTTCTGGAGCTGGAAATATCAAATGTTTCTGCATGAAAAAATACATTTAAACAATGATCAAAATAGGTGCCAATTCATTTTCTGTCAATCAACCAATTGATTAATCATTCTATTTGCTCTTGTACTTCTAGTTTGCTAGTTTCATTTGAAACAAAGCCTTGTATTTTATAACTCTTTGTATGTGTTGTATTTAAAATCTTAACGCTTAAAGTAACAGTCAGATAAATGTAGTGAAGTAAGAAGTACAATATTTAGTTTTACAGTAGTAGTAGAAAGCGGCATGAAAAGAAAAGACTCAAATATTGTACATTCCACCACTCCATGAATCCTATCTACTGCAGATGAAGACTGACATCTAGCGTGCTATAGAGGGACTGCAATGATAAAATTTCACTTTCTAAAACCTTCACAGGAAGCTGTATCATCTCTCGTCACCTTGTTCTTCTTGTTAGCGAGGTTAATCCTCAGCATCCCCATTCCTCGAAGCACAAACTTCATGGAGGTCAGCAGGTTGTCTAGTACTGCAGGCTGTGGAGGGAACCACAATCAACACGTCAACATTTGTCTCAGATAACTTTAACATTGCCTCTGCTTTACAGCTGTCCAATACCTTGAAACTGATGAGCTCTTGTTTGGAGAAGCCCTGACTGTGGATTATCTTAATCTGTTTGATCAGTGTGGTCTTTCCACTCTCTGCAGCTCCTGACACACAAAACAAAAAGAGAAATATTTTCTCTTTTAAATGACAAATTCAACACTTCAGTGAAGCCGGATTTAAAAAAAAAGCATTTACATTAATGTGGTTTAAACCTACCAAGCATGAGGATTTTCACCACATTCATCTCAGTCCTGGCATGTTCGCAAAGGTCTTGCTCTATTTTACAGCTCTGGAGTTTCGCCTTTTTACCCTCTTCTGTAATATCCTGGTGAAGGCACATTGCCATGCAGATCTACGGAGGAATTCAGTTTTCACATGCAACCTGGAAGCTCTCTGACAGCAAAACTTCCACTTATTATTCCTATGTGACTACACAGAACTGGGATGCGTTTTACGACATTTCTCTTTAACATTAAGCACATTTTCCTAAGAGGAAAAATCTTCAGCAGTCAATCATAGAAGTGTAATTTAGAACTGGCCTGCGACAAAGTGATTTTAATATCAGGTTTGTTATAATGTGAAGTAGCTTAAAAGAACCCAGTGGTGTATTTCTCTCACATAATGGTTTTTACTTTGGTGACAAATGCACATCAAATTAACTTGTAAACAGTCACACAACACCAGATAATGTGTGGCTGTTTTTCTTTGACTTTAACTGACTGAATATATTCTGTATGCGACAATTCACACTGACTGACAACGAAATCTTACACATTTGGAGGCGACTTTTGATTTTGACTAAAACTTAGGGCGCAGCGCTCGCTTTATGGCGTCAAAGGGAGCAAAACATCGCCATTTTTAAATTATCTTCAGTCAAACTACTACCTGCAGTGGGCCTGGCAGTGTATTGAGACAGCAAAACATCTCTGCCTTGGCTCTGCGCGTCGGTGTCGTTGGACTCACAGCCCTAACCTGCTACCGAACAACAAGAAACAGAAGAGCCAATTTGCTTCATTAGGGGCACGTGTGCTGCTTCCGAGCCAGCGTGCTCGAGGGGCGCGCGTGTGCTGACATCATGTGACGTCAAAAGGTGTTGAGTCATTAAGCTTTGCCTTATTGCTTTTATAGAAGTCAAAGAATGGAAAACGTGTACTTCATTATAAATGTATTCATTCTGTTATTCATAAATGTAAATTCAACAGTAAAAAACCTAATTTTGTACTTTTTCTCCGTGAAGTTGTGCGTTATATTAATTTGATTTTCTGGCTCCAACAGCAAAAAGGCGGTTAAAACTATCAACATATGGTCCTCTTTCTCTTTTTAATAACATATAAGCTTCCCCT